TATATATATATAAATATTAAGTATTTTTTTTTTCGAACAAATAAAATGAAGGTGTTCGATGAAATGGGACAAAGGGAGTACAAAAATTGCATATTCCTCATTTACATATTTTATTTATGCACAAATTGACCTACTACATGTCGCTACATTGGCCAACTCAAATGTACAAAACTAAAATATACTAGTAAATCAATTAGAAATGAGCTGTGATCCCATTCTACACCACTGAAGTCCTTGTAGGCTATTTGGCAGTTGGCACCATTCGAAGGCCAACTCAAACAAAGTTGGGCCCATCCTTACCCAAATCCATGGAGCCCACAGCCGACGCCGGAATAGAGGCGTATCTCGTCGAGAAATTCCGGAGCCCGTACTCATCCTCCTCTCCGTTATTCCCGCTATGACCTTCGTCGAAGTTTAGTGCATAACTGAGAGGATCATACTGGAATTTCCCTTGCTTTCCACTTTTACTGCGATTGAAACGCCGGATGAAAGTCTTCCATCTCGGCCCCGCCGCGAGCTCCGACCACTCTCGTAGCTTCAGTACAGCGTTAATTCCCTTGGCCCAAACAGAGCCTTCCTCCACTTCCCGAGTCCGTATCCTACGCCACCAATTAAAGCCGATGCCTCCTGACGATGGGAAGCAAAAACAGCAACGCCGCTTTTGGAATAGCGTCTCCGACGTCTCATCGCTCGGCTCCGCATATGTGTGTGAAAATTCACGTGCCTCCATAGCCAAACCGTTACAAATACGAATTTACAGAATTCAAGAGTTCTATAGGTTCCACTTGCGAATATTTATTTTATAGTGGGAAGGTTGTAATATGTAAAGTTGTAACTGTTGAGGGGTGACTGGGACTGGCAAATACCGGTATAAAATAATACTAGGCTTACTGCTCAAAAGCTCACTTTGAGCACAGATTATGGAGATATAACCGGCTTTGTGGATTTTTTAAAGGGGGGCTTTTGATTAGCGGGATAAGGATGAGAATCCAGTACTGCGCGGTTGACGTATGTAACAGCTACGCCAATAGGAATTGGCTGTCACCACTCAGCAAAAGGTTTTACTTTACAAGTTAGAGAGAGACAACCATTGGGCGTTGATTGTATTTTTCATGCTACGTGTAAGGTTATGGCTTGTTTTTTTCCTTTTCCTTTTCAAATTGATGGAATACCGCTCTATTATAAAACAGAGCCATCCGTTTTAATTTATGTAAATTTATTTCCTTTTAATCTATGTCAAAAAGAATGACCTCTTTCCTTATTTGAAAATAATTAACCTTTTATACAATGATTTATAGCCACACAAAATATATATGCTTCATTTTACACCACAAGTTCAAAAGTCTTTTCTCTTTTTTTAAATTCTGTGCGAAGTCAAAATGGGTTTGAAACGGAGGGAGTATCTTTTTTTTTTCTTCAATTCCATTATAAATAAATATCTAAAATATCCGGCCTTGTAATTGAAGATGGGTTGAGGACCACCTAATATTCCGTTCGCGTTTCCAACACATGATTACGCATTATGCACAAGGAATCAAGTGGATTTTTACAAAATTTTGAGAGGAAATTCGTCTTTTTTCTAACTGAAAGGGCTTCTCTTCATTGTTCCTTTTCTATTTTTTTATTTTATTTAATTTTATGTGGAACCTCCTCACTGGATATTGATAGCCTCTTTAGAATGAAAAATCAAAAGAAGTCACTGATCAGATTCCCTAGCGAACAAAGTTGAGGTCTGCTTAAGTTTTCGATGACAAACTCATAAGATCAAATAAAAGAAGGGTTTTAACCATAAAGACGTCCAGATGATTTTCTGAGATGGCTTTTCATCCTTAAAAAGGACAGATTGAAAGTCAGTACAAGCCTAAAACACAGAAAGCCACACTATGCAAAGAAATATGAAATGGACATGCACATAAGTATAAGGTGATGTCAAATTCCAATGGCATAAAAAGCACGGACAAAGGAATCAATCTTTTTTACTTTATCAACTTGCAAATGTGATTTGGTTTCCAACTCATGATTGTTGCCAAAGATGGCTCGGGCCACCTAAGCATCACATACTACCAACTTGCGGGACATATAAGTCTTGGCTTAGAAGTCACTGAAAGCCATATCCAATTCTACTGGCAAAGCCAACCAAGATAACAAAAACTTATATGCAAGCGAAGATAATCGAATGTTAGTGCATTTTAATATGTACCTAATTGCTATAATCAAATGGATTCGATAGTGTCCAATAGCCTACTCATAGTGAGCAAAAAAGTCTAGAAATTGCTACAGAAAAGGTAAAGAGTAACTATATCAGAAATAAATACAAGAATATTCCACAAAGAATCACTAAACATCTGACTTATGTTGTTTGTCAAGAAAGCTGACATAAATTTGAATTTTGATTCATCTCTCTCACACATAAAAGGCATGTTTAAGCTTGCCAGTCTTACAGTTCTGAAACAAGACATTTCTATGGAGACTCAACTTAGTTCCCAAACTAGCAGAAGTTCTCACTAAGTCTCCTCAGTCGGACATACTAAGCCACGAAGATGGTAAGTGTTATCATATTCGAATAAACAAGCTAGAAAGAGTTGTAACATGTTAAAGAGAGTTCTTTTACGACATTGCAAGCAGAAAAATCATCGTCCATTGAACCGTCATAAACTTACGGGCTGCTTGAATAAAATAGTTCTTTAGCAGAAGCTCTGAAATGTGTTTGACAATAATAGTGAATTTTTTTCATGTTAGCGCGATTATTTCAAATGATTTGATTAATTAGAATGTGAAGGCACCTCCTGTTTGTATAGAGCAGTGCTAGTGCATATTGACAGACATTTATCAAGCATAAATGGCAACTTAGGTATGTAAAGATTATAACACATGCTTCGGCTTATGGACACAGATCCACTCATCATGTTCACAGTTTCAGATAGTAACAAATGCCTGATTGGCATGAAATCAAAATAATGAAAAATAGGTATAGCACAAGCATTGATTGACCAGAATTAGTAGGGAAAAAAGCAAAAAGAGACTTCGATAAATTGGATAATTATTAGGAAACACTGTATTTATTTACTCGAACTAATCTTGTGATCACAGGAAAACAGCCATGTCAAACTACTCTGGCATTACCATCTATATGGAATAATAGAAATTGCCTCCAATACATTCTAATTATTAGCAAAGCAAATATTGTGAAGCAACTTTTTTCCACTTTAAGAAGCATGCATTCACTAGCTCAATTATAATCATTGTTAGCCCCTTGACAAAGTTCCTCGGCACATGTGGGTTGTGACAAGGATTTTCATGATGGCCTTGGCACACAACCTGAAAATTGGGGCAACATCATGGCGGGCAGCTCGGTATGACGGACTGTGCGGAGTTGACAAACGCACCTTGACGGAGGCAAGGCGCATTTCACATGGACCTACAGGATGGCATGACAATGGCAAGGCAAAACCATGTCAAAGCAGGGGCAAAGACATGGCAAGGCAAGCAATGACAAGGGCATGGGCAGATTTGATCAAGTTGGGGGCGGTGACTTGACATAAGCGGGCAGCTGAGGCAACGAACGTGTGCGGCTAAGTCAATGGGCGGCAAGATGTAGTCATGACATTGGGGCGGAGCAGTGTCTAAGCGCAAGGATGGGCGCAATGTCAGCCTTGGGCGTGCAGCAGCTGGCCAAAACAAGCACATGCAGTGCACATGATAGGGCATTTGAGCGGTTACAACTGCCTCATCCAAACATGACTGATCATGGGGCTAAGTGAAGGCACGTTTTTAGATCATGGCTGATTGTGTGGCTTAGTGATACACGTTTTTTAGCATGTTCTCCATGTTTGCCCATCAGTTGGGGCTTGTCAACTGATTACTTTAAATGCTGCCAAGTGTAATTGGGTAGCCTGCACTATAAATATGTGCATAAGGCTGTCCCAAAGGGGCAGAACTTAGTCTTGTGGCAATTTATTAAAGCCAAAACGTCTAAGTGTATTCCTAAGGGTAGGAAATCATTTCGGGGCAGGGAACTAGGGTGTTCTTTGTTCTTGGCCATATGGTTGGCTTTATTGTGTTCTTGTATTCACATATTAATACGAGTTGGGAAGAGATTCCTGTAAATTCGTGCGTGCCTTTACTTTTCTTGCTGCCTAAATTTTATTCTAAGTCCCAAACGTCCTAAAATAATTCTAAGTGTTGGAAAGGCTGAAGTCAAGGCTGGGCTCGACTGTCGCACGGTGGTGAACCTCGGGCAGAATTCGAGTGACATAAATCACCCTCGTGACAATCACTACCCGCATTATCTCTGTTAAATAAGTAAAATTATGTTTAAATAATAAACTGCTCGAAAGTGGGCATGCAATTATCCCCAGATGACTCTATCAATCTGTATACTAGTTTAGCAGCTCGAAAGATACTCCAATTGCAGGGCACACAAACGATTTAGATACATAATATAAGTTATATACTACCAAGTCAACTAATTACATAGTGCATGCTAAGCTAAGCACAGAGTTGCTACTCTTTAACACATTCCAACAAACAAAGTCCCATCACACTAGTAATTAATATATCAGCCAACATCAACATCAGTTGGTACTTACATTGCCATAGCTTTCTCCATGCCTTTCCCGTGAATTCCGAAAAATATCTTCCCAGCACTGTCCAAGCTACTTGTGTCAATCGCAATTGCTCCGAACATTGCCCGGAAAGCACCACAAACCACCGCGGGAACTGAGGAATTGGTTTTGCGTGAAACCCTCACTATCTTCTGCAAACCTAAGCGCTCGCCATCAGCTGCGCACGATGTTACCACATTGGAAGACAGCTCTGCAATAGCCCGGTTGAGATCCTTAGGTGACATATCGATATTCTTTCTGAGCAATTGCAGAGAAACCGAACCCTCAATTGCCTTCTCCCCCAAAACACTCAAAGCTCTGTTGTTCTCTCCTGAGTATGATGCGTGCGTCATGGCACGTCGTAGTAACTCCACATCCTGAAATGTGTACCTTTATGCATACAGAGCAATTTAATTTTCAACTTTGTTTAACTGAATAGAAATTTAAAAGTTAAAGTTAAAATAAGTGAGAGAAATTTACTGGATTTGATTTTGAAGGGTTTGGAGAGCGATTGAGAAAGGGGAAGTGGGCCTTGAAGAGAAGGAGGGATTTGCTTGAGCCTGCAATTAATGGCGTCAAAAAAGTTAGGGTTCAGCATCACTCTAAGAATAAGCAAACTTTATAGTTCAACAGCTTTAATGAGGGTTTTACCTGAAGAGAAGAGTAGAGGGCGAAAGCAAGTAAGACGGAGCAGATGAATTGCCGGAGATGGCTCATAATTCCAGTGAACTATCCTTAGTTGACGGCGACGGAGTTGAGCTGAGTCGATTGAGGTCTCTAGTCGAGGGGCTGTGGGTGAAAAATAGGGTAAATCCACTTTACTCCTCGGGTCTTGGTCATGTCGAAGTATACTAAACTATGCTTCAGATGATTTTTACGTACCTATACTTTATTAGAAATTTATTTACTTTTTTTCAATATGTTTTGTAGTTTTTTTAATAAATATCTATTTTTATGATAAATTTTATATATTACTCCTTAAAAGATTCTCACCTCATTATTAATGTTTTCAATTAAGGAATTCAATTACATTCTTTCTGTATCCCTTAATTTACGTCCAGAATCTCCATCTTTTCTCTTTCCACCATTGCCGACAGTTTTATATTATTAAAAAATCGTCAATTGCATCGTTCTTTTCATGGGAGACTGGACAACACTGAAAATGAAGAAACATTCCGATTGTTACATGAATTATCCTCAATGTCGTTCCACTAAAAAGCTTTGAAGCTTTGGATTCGATATTCATATTTTCATATTTTGTGATTTATTTGGATTAGATATTTTTGAAAATGATTGAGAATATGCATTGGAATTTATAATCTCAATTTTGAGGGAGATTAGTTAAGTATAGAGTTGGTTTTAGGTGAAATTTCATATTGAAATCCGAAAAAGAAGAAGTTGTAGGAATTGTATTATAATTGTATGATCATTGTATCATAATTGTATTTGAATTGTATCAGATACATCTAGTTGTGGCAAATGAGCGGGTTGGATCGGATTTGGTCAGGTTAATTGGGTTGAACAAAAAATGGATTGGGTCTAAACCCGCCCATATTTTATGCGGGTCAAAAACGGGTTGGGTGTCAATGGGCGAGTTGAATATGAGTTAACCCATATCTTATAAGTGTAATATTTTTTCAAGTGCAATTTATAATTTTTCTTTTGCTCAAATTATTTAATGACATAAGATAACTTTAATAATATATACTCTTCTTCGTTAAATTTATTCAAAATTGACTATCATATAGTAAACTTAAGTTATGCTTCCACAAAATATGAAAGTTTTCATTTTAGGAAGAAAATGTGCATAATGCACATCAAGCAATATCACTAATAATATATGACTTTGTGTATTTTCTACTTTGTTCATATATTGTCTGCAATCTAATATAAAACTAAATAAATTCAAAAAGGAATACTATAAATAGAAAGGTACTATTTATATTCAAAAATATATTCAAAACATTCACTAATAACACATGACTCTATACAAATTTAATATTGAAATATGTGCTCCATAACTAAAAAGAAAATACTATTTTTTTGGTTGAAAAAGAAAGTACTTATTTTGTTGAAATGAAAGAAATTTTTTTTTATATCATGAAAAGAAAATACTCATTTTGTTGAAATGAAAGAAAATACTTTTTCTACATCATTTTGTTGAAATGAAAGAAAATACTTTTTTTCACATCATGAAAAGAAAATACTCATTTTGTTGAAATGAAAGAAAATACTTTTTTTCACATCATGAAAAGAAAATACTCATTTTTTTTAAATGAAAAAGAAAGTACTCTTAATAATATTTATATTGAGTTGGGTGGGGTGTGGGTGTGCGTGGGGATTGGGATGAGTTCATGAGGAAAATATTTTTCAAAATATTTAAGTCAACCAAACATGAAAAAATTAGAAAATATTTTTCAAAAAATATTTTCCTTTATATACCAAACACATCCTTAATGTACCCCCGAGTACCTCTTTATCGAAAGTGACGTATTACAAGTGGGAAAAATATTCTCTTTCTTAACATGTACTCTTCAAGAATAAATGAAAAGCTATACAAATTTGCTTCTACTTCTTAAACTATTTTTGGTACTCAACATCTAGAAAGAAAAAGGACGCTAAACAATAGTAAACAATACTTACAATATTTTGAAAGAAAAAAAACACTCACATAGTCAACTATAGTGAGAAGAAACATACGAAAGAGGAGGAGTTGGAATACCTTTATAACATTTTCAGTTTAAAAAATCATATCATGTATTTTGAGTGAGTAAAAGTTGAAAGATAACCCACTAGGCTAACCCATAGTTTACCCATATTTCTACGGGTTGAATATGGGTTGAAGCCCAAATTTTACCCAACTTAAATATCACTCATCCAACTCACTAAAATATGGGCGGATAGGGCGGGTTGACAAAATATGAGCTCATTTTGCTAGCACTAGATACATCAATGCCTAAAACATAATTATATCATACTTGTATCATAATTGTATCTAACTTGTATCTGGTACATTAATACCCAAAATAATACCTGATACAATACTAATAAATTAATATACAATTATCATATATTTGTGATGCAAACTTTGAAATTGGTCACGAACTCATAACTGCTAGTAACAATATACAATGAATATACAATTATCATACATTTGTAATACAATTCATGCAATAATTATGATACATATACAATTATAATACAATCGCGATGCATTTCTGAAAAATTATGATACATTTATGATCTTCATATTCTTCAAGTTTCAATCACATCTCTACACTAAAAATCTAATATAATCGTATTATAATTGTATTATTATTGCATCAAGTATTTTTTTGGGTATTGATGTATCATACACAAGTCACATACAATTTTGATATAGTTGTGATACAATTCTAAAACAAATCTTATACAATTATCATATAATTCAGATTTTTTATCTATCAATGAAGAGAGCAGCTGCAAATCGAAGTTCAAACCCGTAAGATTTTAGTGAAGAGATAATAATTTGGGAAGATTTCCATAAAAAAGGTCATATAAATCAAGAATGTAGAAAATGATAGAGGTGAACAAGTTATATAAAAAGCATCACACTTTCGTTAATGTATAAAATATAAATCAAGTGGCCACTTTCAACGGAAAACAAATGCTAGGATAAAAGGAATAATCCATTATTTTACAATTATCTTGGAGGACTCGTACTTTTAGAAAGTTGAAGCAATAAACAAGTTGGGCAATTGTGAGATACTATGATTATTTGATATGAAGCTATAGGCCGTTGTAACAACCTGATCGGTCGTTTTGAGTATTACAATCCCGTTCCCATATTCACTGCTCAATTTATACTTTACAGTTATTTTATGACTTACCGGGTTAGTTGATTCGGGTCCGGAAGGAATTCGGAGTGAAATGAGACACTGAGTCTCATAATTAAAAATTTAAGTTAGAAAAGTTGACCGGATGTGGACTTATGTGTAAATAACCTCGGATTTGAATTTTTACGATTTCGATAGATCCGTATAGTGATTATGGACTTAGAAGCGTGTCCGAAAAATTATTTGAAAGTCCGTAGTGGAATTAGGCTTGAAATGGCGAAAGTTAAATTTTTGAAAAGTTTGACTGGGGGTTGACTTTTTGATATCGGGGTCGAAACCCGATTCTGGAAATTGGAATAAGGCTGTTATATCATTTTTGACTTGTGTGCAAAATTTGAGGTCAATCGGACTTGATTCGATAGGTTTCGGCATTGAATGTAGAAGTTAGAAATTTCATAATAGACTAAAGTATCAAGTGAGTTCGCACATGACCTAACTTCAAATGAGCATAACTCTCATGATACGAAGTGTTATATGATGTATTACATATCAAATGAAAGATCTTTGAGTCTCGTTTCTAAATCTCCAAACCGTTTGTCATTTGAACATTCCTACAAGAAGTTATCACCAAATTACCAAAGACTAAAAATATGTGATTCTGCTACCAATTCTGTGATCGCAGAATAGTTATGCGATCGCGAAACTGCTTCTGCGCCCGCAACCTGGTCTCAGAATGGACCAGAACAGCCCAGTTCTGGGCACCAATTTTTGCGATCATTGTGCCGCCCGCATACCCATTCTGCGGTCCATTATGCAACCGCAGACCTGATTTCATAGGGGTAATTTTTTTCTATTTTTATAACCCGACTCTATTTTGATAAATAGGCTTTGGGGCTTATTTTGGGGCAATTATCTGATGCTTTTAGAGAGAAGTAAGAGTGTTCTAGAGAGAGGAAGTAGATGAAGTGTTTTCTTCATCAAATTCTTGTCCAAACCTTGAAATCCAACAAGAAATCCCTCAAGTTCTTCATCAAAGAGGTAAGGTTCCATACCCTAGTTTTCAATTTCGGGATTTGAATTAAAAGTAGGTCATAAAAATTATGATTCTTGGTTGTGAGAGTATTATGTATACATGTATGGATTTATTATGGAAATATGAGTATGAATCAAGTATTTGAACTCATGTTATAGTGATTGGAAGCCATAAATTCGCAATTTAAATGAATACCTATTGTAGAGATTGAAAAGTGATTATTTGATGGAGTTTTGTTGGTTGGTGAGAATGGTTGGTCACACATGTGATGTTAGGATTATAAGTTGTTAAAGAATGATAGTGGGATAAATTATTGGTAAATGATGGTAGTTGGAAGAACTAATTCTATGGTTAAGGAATGTATAAATGTATGCCCACTAGGTGTTTGGTAAGTTGTCTAAATGGCCTAAACTATGGAATTGGCTACTAATGTTGGTCCCATTTGATGTTGATATTATAGATTGAAGTTGCTTAGTATAGTAGATCGTTGTAGTACCATTAAGGGGTGAATTCAGTTTCGGATCGTTGGCATTGAATTGAGGAGACAAGAAGGCATTCGGAGGTGGATACACACGGAATGGAATTTTCTAAGTATTGATTAAATAACATGTTAAATAACATGTTGATATCTTAACAATCTCTACGTGTTAGAGAAAATTTAGTTGAGACTCGTATTAAAAATCATGCTTGGACATATGTTATGATTATTGGTACCCACTAAGGTTATTTCTGTGGTTGAATTATATGTTCAAATAGTAAATTTCACACTCAGTCATGTTCATGCATTTCATATCATATATTAGTCTCTGTTGTTATTCATTGATACACCATATCATCATTTTTGGGTTGATTTTCATGACATTGTGAGCCCGAGAGACTGGAGAGATTGATGATTGAGTAAGACTGAGGGCCTGATTGTGAGGATAATTATGGGATCAGGCTGCACGCCGCAGTAGACCAGATTGGCTTATTATAGCACGTGAGTTGTCCGTGCAGATACAG